AAACAAAAGAATAAAGTAATGACCAAAATCAAATGAAAAATTTACCTAATGGCAATAGCACAGAACTCTAATAGCGACAACTCTAGCAACGAAATCATATCTAGAAGAAAAGAAATGTCAGTAATATATAGAAAAAAAAAATACAGCCATCTCTCAAAATAGTTATCTCCTATATAATCACACCATGTGTAATCACATTTATGTTTAGACCAAACTATGATTTAATTTATAAGAAAAAGACCTCTATATAAGCACAACTCCTATATAAGCATATTTTAAAAAAATTTATTATGTACCTAACTGTGTGATTTTATGGGAGGATGACTATACAACAAAAAAAAAAAAGAATAAAATAATGACCAAAGAATAAAAAACTTACCTGATAGCAACGGCACAGAACTTCAATAGTGATGACTCTAGCAGTAAAATCACACTTGGAAAAAAAGAAATATCAGTAAAATTTAGTAGAAAAAAAAATATGACAAAAAAAAAAGTAACAACCAAAATTGAACAAAAAAACAGAACTCCAATAGCAATGACTCCAGTGGCGAAATTATATCTGAAAGAAAGAAACATCAGTAGTATATGGTAGAAAGAAAAGACAAAAAAAAATACAAATAACCAAAAAATGAACAAAAAACTTACCTGATAGCAAATAGCACAGAACTCCAATAGTGATGACTTCAGTGATGAAATTACACCTAGAAAAGAAGAAATGTTAATAAATATATAAAAACAAAAAAGACAAAAAAAAAAAAAAAAAAATGAACGAAAACTTACTCAATGGTAATGATACAAATAACTGGACAAAAAAAACAGGTAAAAAAGCAAAAGCACAAAAAAGCAAAAAAAACAAAAACAAACACGAAGCAAACAAAACAAAAAAAGATACAACAAAAAGTGATATTTGTAATATGTACTATACTTGATATATATATATGTAAAAAAATTTTTATATGATTACCAAAAATGATTGGTCGATCATATAGAGGTCACCATAGTGATGAGTCGCTATTTATAATTTTCCTTACAAAAAAATTTATTTTTTCAACAATTATTTAATTAAATTTTAGATAATCATTAAGACAATTAATTTTTTTGTAAATATTTTTTTTCAAATTATATCTCTTTTCCTAGCACTTAGCTCATGTTATTAGAAACAAAAAAAAAGTTAGTTATTATGGATGTGTTTATATAACTCTTGGTCCATTAAACACATAAGGCTATACAAAATTATATTCTTAGTTTTTATATCATAAGACTTGATTAATAATGCAGATACGCAGCTTTTTTTTTATAGTAAAAAAATTTTTTTTAAATAAGCTAAAAAACTGATTATTAAAGCTTATTTTCCTATACTCCAAATACCTAATATAAACTTTTTATATTATTTAGAGTTCTGTTTTTACAAAATATATGATTATAATATAATAATAATACCCTTACTAACTAGGGTTACAAAACTTAATTTCTTAAATATAAAATTTAACAATAGGGCCACAATTATAAAAATATAATATATATCACAACATCGCTATATATTTTATAAAATAAATAAATTTTAAATTATGCACAATCTATATTACTAAAATAATGATAATTTATATTTGTTTTATTAATAATTGCAATTTTAAATCTTTTTGAACTTGCTATTATCAGCATATTGAAATACTATTAAATATTCATTTTCACTTTTTTGAGTCAATTTATATATTTTAAGTTGACTATCTCATAATCTACATGTTAAATAATTCTCAAACTTTATAATTAAATAAATGGATTAATTAGTTTATTGCTTATATAATAAATAATTGAATAAATAGTCTTAACTTGTTTCTTTTAACGAACCAGACAAGGTTTTGAATACAATGATGCTGGATACTTCATATGATCTTTTATTTTTTTTAATTTTTCATATATCGTCTAACCAGGTTGCTAAATATACAGAGCCAAATCCTCCTTTGTAGCAAAAAAAAGGTTTGCAAAAATTGCAACTAATTTTAAAAAAACACTAAGTTGCAACTTTGCAAAAACATCTAATCCATACCGATTCAAATATTAAAAATATAGCTTTTTGATTAAAATACCTACCAAAGTTATATATGAGTTGGCAAAATATTAAAATGCTAATGAAATATCGAAACCCTGCCAAGACAAAACCTAGGAATAGTAAAAAATTGCTTTTTAATTGATTAAAAACAAACGCAAGTGAGTAAATACTAATGAAACTATATAGAAACTTAGCTTTCTTAAAATTGATTTCATCATATTAAATCCTAATTTTACTTGTGAACAATATTTTTTTTCTATTTTCTATAACTATTGTAATATATATAATATAACAAATAAAGACATTAGTTATTTTAGTTTGTCTAAACTAATTACGCTATAGTTCTTTATAATATACCTTAATTGATTTAGAATTTAATTCTAGTTTTTTTTTAAGATAGTACAAGAAAATATACTGAAATTGATATTTCATATTGCAGCACATACGTACGTATATTGAGAAAGTATAAAATTCCTCTTTACTATACAAATATACTATGATGCTATACTAATACCTAATTAAACTACTCTAACCAAACTCTAATAATGGTAAGACAACGATCAAGGTATAGAAAGACTTGAACCGAGTAACTAGAGTTAATTAGAGCTCTAGACTACGTCATGAGCAGTGTCTGAAACACATCTGAAATCTGTATCAGGTTATGCCAATAGTTAATTATTACTATGTTTGTCAGTTAGTTAACTTATATAAACTTAAACACAAATCAAATTTTTATTATTTTTTATTAATAAACGCAAACTAAATACTGTAAAAAATTTTGACAGTACTATATAAAGGATTGTTATCAAGAGAACTGGTAAAACTGAACGGGACCGAAGTGTTTAGCAAGGCACTCTACCAACCAGGCCACCGGGAGAGTAATCGAAGAAAAAGGACCCAACCGTAGGAATCAAGATCAGATCACAGTCCTTCCAGGCCATCTGGATTGGTAGTTTGGGATTGTCAGAATTAATTGGTGATAGTCTGTAAAGTATATACTGAGGTTTGGGTGAACTCTACAAGGGCAGAAGTAGGTAATGGTAGCGGCCTCAGCTCACAAGTACTTGTCCTCGGACTTGAGCATAAATTACTGAAGTCTAGGCTAGCTAGATTGTGGGTATGAAAAGCTCTAGCAAGTTTACTTCAAAGTTAAATTAGCTCTAGGTCAGGTATTTCCTATGGCAGGTATTGGTTTTTCATAAGGATATAGCGGCGCAGAGAGTTTAAATAGATAATCCCCTAATTGGATTATAGGTATAGCATTTAGTATAGAACTTGATAATAAGCGGACTACTTAAATAGACAACCAAAAGTTGTACATGTGGCTAGTTGTATCTTCTAAAACTATGTATCAAATGAGTAGCGGATAGCTGTCCAGCTTAGCATATAAACTAATAAAGACAACCAACCATGAGGTCACTTTGATATTAAAAAAAAAAAAATACTGTAAAAAATCAATTTTTATTGTAATTTTTAAATGAATGCAAACTAAATACTATAAAAAATCAAATTTTTATTGTAAATGATTGCAAACTAAATATGTATTGTAAAAAATCAAATTTTTATTATAATTTTTATTAAATGATCACAAACTAAATAATATATATATATTAATATAATATAAGAAGCATTATATAAATAAATTTTTATATCTTTCAATTCAGATGGTTATCTGATACGCTTTCACTTAAGTTATAGTTTTTTTTTGTCTGCTTTCTTTTTTTTTCAGGCTAGAATAATCTAAGATCTATATTTTTTTCTCATTATTTGTAGTACAGTGTGATTTTCATTTGGTACCATATCTGTTCACTTTGTACCTTTTAATAGATTCTGGTTGAACTCTTATAGATACACCACTTTTAACATGAATTATTGGGTCTAAAATATGATCAATATCATAAAAAAATATGGATAATCAGAAAATAGATTTTGACTTCGCTACATTATAACACATTGAAAACTTGTCAAGTGTAGCACATAGTTGAGAATTGCTATTTAGATAGTCTTCTTTGACTTCTTCTAAAAAAGTCATAAATAAAAAGGTGCTGTTATCATTGTTTTTTTTATTAGAATTACTTGGTTCTCTACAAATTACAAGAATAATTATTATAGATTTTTAATATTAAAAAAAAATTAGGCTAATAAAATATAAAAGGTATCTTCATGTTATATTCTGAGTATCATTTGATGTATCCATTTCAATATATAAATTTTCTTGCGGTTGTAAAGGTTTTAAAGGTTATAAAGTAGATTGTAGATGCAATGATATATAGAAAGAGCGATCTTTGGTAGTATACCCTAAGAAGTCAATTAGATTAACTTTAATTTCAAATATATAAAATTAAATTATATAATACTTTACCAAGAGCAATATAAGTATAAGTTTTACGATCATTAGATGTAAGCAACAGAATAAAATTAAGCAGAAAAATATAGAATTTTACTAATACAGCATTTTGGTGCTTACATAGGGCCTTGCAAATTCCAATAAGACAAGTACATATACTGAGTTCGCTATTTACAATGTTGTTACAGTACCGTAGCCTTCTTAACAGCAGTACTATAACAATGACACGGCTACAGAGATCCTTTACAGGTTTATAGCAGTGTCCAAGATAAGTATAATTTCTACTACAACTAGAAACTATACCCTTCTGTCTGTGGCAGTTCGGGCAGACAATAGTTTATAG